GGATTATACAGAACACTACACTGAGTAACAGCAGAATACACATTTTTCTGAAGTACATACAGAACATTCTCTAGGATATACCAAATGTTAAACCACAAAAAAGCCTTAATAAATATAAAAAGATTAAAATCACACAAAGTATCTCTGCTGATCAAAATGGAATGGAACTAGCAATGAATAGCAGAATAAAACCTGAAAATTCAGTAAGTATGTGAAAATTAAATAACACACAAACCACCAATAGATCAAAGAAGAAATCACAGGGGAAATCAGAAAATATCTTGGGATAAATGAAAACAAATCCACAATATAAACAGTGTTAAGGGGGAAATTTATAGCTACAAATGCTTAAAATGAAAAGCAAGAAAGGTCTCAAATCAACACGATAACCTTGTACTTTAAAGAACTGAAAAAAACTAACAAGCCATTGCCACTGCTGAGACCAAGATGGCTGCAAGACTTGCTGCCTTCCTCACGAATGCCTGGGCCAAGGAGCTGGTGCTGGTTTCGTCCTTCACCATTGCGGGCCATCCTATAATTTTGCCCCCACTCAGCCCCTACACCAAGTATGTAATCATGATCAACCAGGCCACATCCTACAATTAATTATCCAATGCCTGTCTGAAATGATGGGAGCATCCCTGACATGCCCAGCCACCCCCAGGACTCCTAGGGCCCCAGCTTGGAATGGCTGAAGAAACTGTGAGCATCTCTACTGACAGGGAGGCTCTCTAATGGCTCCCAAAAAACACAACCAAATTACAAAACCAAAAAACAAAACCAAAGTAAACCCACAGCTTAACAGAAGAAAGGAATCTAATCTTATGAAGAGCAGAAATAAACAAAATTAATAGAGAAGAGGCAATAAAGAAGAGTTGGTTCCTTGAAAAGATCAATAAAATTGACATTTGGCTAGATTAAGAAAAATAAAGACTAAGTTACTAAAATCAGAAATCAAAGTGGGTACATTACTACTGACATTATAGAAACAAAAGGATAAGAGAGTAGTATCATGAACAACTGTATGCCAACAAATTAGATAACTAGATGAAATGAATAAATTTCCAGAAACCCACAACCTAACACTGAATCAGGAAGAAACAGAATATATGAATAGACCTATAACTATGAAGGATATTGAATCAGTGATCAAAAACCTCCTAGCAAAGAAAAGCCCTGGATTTCCACTCGTGATTTCTACCAGACAGTTGAAGAAGAATTAGCACCAATTCATTTCGTTCTTCCAAAAAAGTGAAGGTGGGGAATACTTGCTAGTTCATTCTATAAGGCCAGATCCCCCCAATACCAAAGCCAGACAAAGATACTGTAAGAAAAGAAAACTACAGACTAATGTCCCTTACGAACAATGATATAAGTATCTGCAACAAAATCCTAGTAAAGAGAGTTCGAGGCGTTTTAAAAGGATTACACCATGACCAAATGAGATTTAGTTCTGGAAAGCAAGGATGGTGTAACATATGAAAACCAATCAACGTAATATGCCACACCAACAGAATGAAGAAAAAAACCACATAATCATCTCAATTGATGTAGAAAAAGCATTTGACAAAATTAAAAATCTTTTCAAGGTAAGAACACTTAAACCAGGAGTAGAAAAAAATCTAACTCAATATAATAAAAGCCATACATTAAAAACCCACAGCAAATTTCAATGGTGAAAAATGAAAGCTTTTCCTCTAGTATCAGAACAAGGCAAGGATGCCCACTTTTACCACTTCTATTCAACACAGTACTACCGATAGTTCTAGCCAGAGCTATTATGCAAGAAAAATTTTTAAAAAGCATCTAAACTGGAAAGGAAGATGTAAAATTATTTCTGTTCGTAAAAGATGTATGTAGAACCCCTAAAGATTACATAAAAAACCTGCTAATACTAATAAACCGATTCGGCAAGGTAGCAAGATATAAAGTCAACACACAAAAATCAATTGTTTCTACGTATGAACAAATTATTCAGAACAGAGTAAGAAAACAAATCTATGTACAATAGCATCAGAAAGAATAAAATATTTTAAAATCAGCTTAATCAAGCACCAAACTTGTATACTGAAAACTATGTAACACTGTTGACAGAAATTAAAAATGATATAAATAAATGGAAATTGATATTCATGGATTGGAAGATTTAATATTGTTACCAATATCACCCAAAGCAATCTATAGATTTAATGTTATACCTTTTTTTTTTTTTTTTTTTTTTTTTTTTTGAGACGGAGTTTCACTCTTGTTACCCAGGCTGGAGTGCAATGGCGCGATCTCGGCTCACCGCAACCTCTGCCTCCTGGGTTCAGGCAATTCTCCTGCCTCAGCCTCCTGAGTAGCTGGGATTACAGGCACGTGCCACGATGCCCAGCTAATTTTTTGTATTTTTAGTAGAGACGGGGTTTCACCATGTTGACCAGGATGGTCTCGATCTCTTGATCTCGTGATCCACCCGCCTCGGCCTCCCAAAGTGCTGGGATTATAGGCTTGAGCCACCGTGCCCAGCCTGTTATACCTATAAAACCCCAATTTCTTTTTTGCAGAAATAGAAAAACTCATCCTAAAACTCAGATGAAATTACAGGAGACCACAAATAGCCAAAACAATCTTGAAAAGAAGAAAAATGTGGAGGATTTTTTCCTTTCTGATTTAAAAACTTATTATAAAGCTCCATTAACCAAAACTGTTATAAAGACATATAGACCAATGGAACAGACTAGAGAGCCCAGAAATAAACTCCTGCATATAGGGCCAAATCATTTTTGATAATGCTGCCAAGACCATTCATTAAGGAAAGGATAGTTTTTTGAACAAATGGGGCTGGGAAAACCGGATATCCACATGTAAAAGAATGAAGGTCAATCCTTACCTTATACAAAGATCAACTCAAAATCCATCACAGACCTAAACGTAAGAGTGAAAACGGCACAATTCCTAGAAGAAATCATTTGGCGAAAGCTTCACAACATTGGATTTTGTAGTTTCTTGGATGTGACAACAAAAGCACAGGCAATAAAAGAAAAAACAGGAAAACTAAAAACTTTTTATATCAAAAGATACTATACCTTCAGAGTAAAAAGGGTAACAAACATAAATGAAGAAAAGATTTTCAAGTCATATATCTGATAAGGAACTAACATATCGAATATATAGAGAACTTCCAAAACTCAACAACAAAAAAACCTGATTCAAAAATGGGCAATGAACTTGAATATTTCTCTGAAGAAGATATATTAATACAAATGGCCAATAAACACATGACAAGGTGATCAGCATCACTAATCATTAGAGAAATGCAAATCAAAACCACAATGAGATAACACTTCAAACCCATTCAGATGGATATTATTAAAAAACGGAAAACAACAAATGTTGGTGAGGATGTGGAGAAATTAGAACTCTCGTGCACTGCTAGTGGGAATGTAAAATGGTGCAGCTATTGAGGAAAACAGTGTTCAAGGGTCAACTGTACTACAATGGAATATTATTTAGCCATAAAAAAGACGAAAATTCTAACACATGCTACAGCATAGATGAACCTCAAAGATATTCGGCTAAGTGAAATAAGCCAGACGCAAGAGGGCAAATTTACAATTCCACGTAAATGAGTACCTGGAATATTCAAATTCAGAGTCATAAAGGAGAATAATGGTTAATTGGTACTGGAGGGAGGGGTCAAATGTGGAGTCACCATTTAATGGGTATAGAGTTTCGGTACGAACAATGAAAAAGTTTTGGAGATGAATCCTGGTAATGTTTGGACAACGATGTGAATGTACTTAATGCCACAACAGACTCAAAAACGGTTAAAATGTTAAAGTTTATGTTATGTATATTTTACCGCAATTAAAAATAAATATATGTGAATAAGCCTTGGTGTTGTAGTGCCTACACACAAATTCAGGCAAATTAAGGACATGGAAAGTGAAGGGAAGATGATATTTTAAGAAGGCCTCTCATGAAATGACTTCTGAGCAGAGACATGAATGAAATAAGGAAGAGGGGCTGGGTGCAGTGGTTCACTTCTATAATCCCAGCATTTTGGGGAGGCGGAGGTGGGCAGATTGCCCAAATCCAGGAGTTCAAGAGCAGCCTGGGCACATGGGGAAACCCCATCTGTACAAAAAATACAAAAATTAGCCAGGTGTGGTGGCATGCGCCTGTAGTTCCAGCTACTCGGAAGACTGAGGGGGGACGATTGCTTCAGCCTGGGAGGTAGAGGTTACTGTGAGCAGAGACAGAGCCACTGCACTTCAGCCTGGGCAACAGAGTGAGACCCTATCTCAGAAAATAAATACCTAAGTAAGAAAGAAAGAGGACAGAGGTTTAAGAAAATACAGGATTCCAGCCAGAGAAAACAAAGTAAAAGGCTGTGATGCAGGAGTCATATTTAAGGAACAAGTGAGGGTGGCAGAGACAAAGGGAGGGGGAAATGGCAAGAAAAACAGAATGGCAAAGCTAGGTAAATAGGCAAACGTTATACAGCCTTACATGCCCCGTACATACACTGGATTTTACTCAGTGAAATGAAAAGCCAGTCGAGGGCCTGAAGCAGAGGAGTGACATGATGTGACAGATGTTCTCATTCTTTTTTTTTTTTCTGAGACAGAGTGTGGCTCTGTCACTCAGGTTGCAATGCAGTGGTGGATCTCAGCTCACTGCAACCCCTGCCTCTGGTTCAAGCAATCCTCCCATCTCAGCCTCCTGAGCAGCTGGGACTACAGGCACACCCACCACACCTAGATAATTTTTTTATACTTTGTAGAGATAGGGTTTTGCTATGTTGCCTAGGCTGGTCTTGAATCCCTGACCTCAGATGATCTGCCCGCCACAGCCACCCAAAATTACAGGCTTGAGCCACAGTGCCTAGTCATGACAGATGTTTTTGGAAAAAAAAAAAAAAAAAAAAAAGTCTGGTAGCTGAGTGGAGAAGAAATTATCCTGATTAAAGGAAAAATAACAGCTGTTATCTTTGATTCCAGCTGCATGGTTCTCACCTGAATGCCTATCTCTTTGGGTTTGAAACTCCTTCATCCAAAGTTTTTCTTCCCTCTCCAACTGGGATATCATATCTGGTTTGAAGGACTGACGTCCTATAAGAAGATGATATTTAAGTGAAAATGTTAAAGGCAAAGAGTACTGAAAAACTCCGGTTTCAATCACACAATGTAAGGCTCTTCCCTGCTCCTCCATGCAACATTTAGGAAACATCTTTCATCATGACACATTATAAGAAATACATTTACTATCATTGGAAATACATTACCCTATGTAAACTATTGAAATAAAAGATTAAAGGACCTGTTTCTAACCAATGTCTGTTTTCATCACATTCCTTACTGCAAGCAGCTGTAGTTATTACCACAATGGGCACAATTCTGGCTAAGGAGCTCCGATATTGTTACTCTATTTTACTACAAAAATGCTGATGCAACTTACTAATTTCATGACCCACCAGTGGAACAGGACCCACAAGTTTAAAAAAGATAAATGACATAAGGAATCAGGAGGAGCCAAGCTCAACTGTTCGTTTATAGTTCATTTCTAAAAGACAATCATTTGCCTTGGAACAAAGGCCAGAAATATCTTGTCTCTATGCTCTAAGGAGATAGAAAAACTCTAGTCTCTGAAAAGTCCCACAGCCTTGAACAAGGGGAGAGAGACCAGGGATGCCACTAAGCATCCCAAAATGCACAGGACAGCCTGATACAACACAGAATTATTTAGCCCAAAAACATCAACAGCATGGAGGTTGAGAAACCCTGCTGAATTACAGAGGGTGCCTGTCCTCACCCACTGAAACCAGGTTCCTGAAGTTCTCCAGCATCACGTCTCGGTACAGCTTCCTCTGGGCAGAGTCCAGCAGCCCCAGCTCCTCCTCAGTGAAGGCCACAGCCACATCCTTGAATGTCACTGCCTCCTAGAACATCAAGCACATGTAACCTGAATCTCATACCCTATGGCCACTGGCACCTAAGCAACTCTTTCTGTAAAGTTACTATTCTTCCCCTTCCACAGTCACACCAAAAATGCTAGGAAGAAAAAGGAAAACATCTTATACATGTAACATGGTACCCTTTATATACTTAATCCCTAGAACTGTCATTGTTAAATCATGGCATACACACATTTTACAATTAGACTGATAGCACCACATTTTTTTTTTTTTGAGATGAAGTTTTGTTCTTGTTACCCAGGCTGGAGTGCAATAGCGTGATCTTGGCTCACTGCAACCTCCACTTCCTGGGTTCAAGCAATTCTCCTGCCTCAGCCTCCTGAGTAACTGGGACTACAGGCGTGCACCACCATGCCCAGCTAATTTTTGTATTTTTAGTAGAGACTGGGTTTCACCTTGTTGACCAGGATGGTCTTGATCTCTTGATCTCGTGATCTCCCCACCTCGGCCTCCTGAAGTGCTGGGATTATAGGCGTGAGCCACCGCGCCCGGCCTGATAGCACCAAATTTTATAAGAAATTTTGCATTAATTTCCTCTTACATGGATAGTGCCACTATTTTGTCAATTTAACAGGCCTTCAAAGAGCTCTGAGACAAGTATGTAGTGCACTCTGGGTTCTCAGGTACATGCTGTATCAGTCAATTGCAGCAGCATGTAGGGGCAAGGTTAAGAGTGTAGGCTCTGGAGTTTGACTGCCTTAGTTCACATTCCAAGGCTCTATCCATTATTAGTTTTGTGGCACTGGTCAGGTCACCTGACTCAATACCTCAATTTCCACATCTGCATAAGAGGACCTATATCATAGGGTCCTTGAAGGGATTAATGAGTGAATACATATAAGGAACTTAGGACAATGTGTGACATATAGTAAGTACTCAGTAAATGTCAGTAATTAGTCTTATCATCACCATCATCTATTTCATCCCATTCATGGCTGGACGATAGTCCATAAACATCATCTACAATACCTTTAACCATTCTAAATAATGCACATTTGATCATTTTAACTTTTAAAATGACAATGTCACCAATAACATTTTTACACAGTTATCTGCCAGCTCATATGATTATTTCCTTCAGATAAGTTCCAGCTGGGCACGGTAGCTCACTCCTGTAATTCTAGCACTTTGACAGGTTGAGGTGGGCAGATCACCTCTAGTCAGGAGTTTGAGACCAGACTGACCAATATGGTGAAATCCTGTCCCTACTAAAAATACAAAAATAGTCAGGCATGGTGGCGCACATCTGTAATCCCAGCTACTCGGGCGCTGAGATGGGAGAATCGCTTGAACCTGGGAGATGGAGGTGACAGTGATCTGACATGACATCACATCACTGATCATGGTAATCTTCTCAATTAGTTCTTCCTGTAAGAGATTATAAGTATTCCCAATTCTCCATACTCTGGCCAAAACTGGACATTATATTATTTTTTAAAAATCTTGATTAATTTGGTGAGTGATACAAACAACTATTTAAAAAAAAGTCCATTTATTTAAACTTTTTAAAAAGACGATCTTCTGGTATTTCTCTTCACATATTCCCTTTGCTTAATCCTACTGGAATCTTTTGAGTATCAGTAATATTACTGTTAAGAACATTAAGTTGGCTGGGCACGGTGGCTCACGCCTGTAATCCTAGCACTCTGGGAGGCCAAGGTGGGTGGATCACCTGAGGTCAGGAGTTCAAGACCAGCCTGGCCATCATGGTGAAACCCCATCTTTTTTAAAAAAAAAAAAAAAAAAAAAAAGCCAGGTGCGGTTGCTCAAGCCTGTAATCCCAGCACTTTGGGAGGCCGAGGCGGGTGGATCACGAGGTCAAGAGATCGAGACCATCTTGGTCAACAAGGTGAAACCCCATCTCTACTAAAAATACAAAAAATTAGCTGGGCATGGTTGTGCGTGCCTGTAATCCCAGCTACTCAGGAGGCTGAGACAGGAGAATTGCCTGAACCCAGGAGGTGGAGGTTGCGGTGAGCCAAGATTGCACCATCGCACTCTAGCCTGGGTAACAAGAGTGAAACTCCATCTCAAAAAAAATAAATAAATAAAAGGGGAATATTAAGTCTTTTTCTAGAATATATAAACTCCTACTCCTGCACCTCTTTCCTATTTGGCTCATAAAGTTTGCATATGGTGTTTTTCTGTATGGAAATGAACATTTTAAAATCTGAAGACACTACTGATCCCTGCATTTGTTTTGGCTGGAGTTCTGAACATCTATGTAGTAAATAAACTGATGACATACCAGGCGAAGAGCCATGCACTGAGAAAGGGAATCTGATGAAGAACAATGTTATTTTTGGAGCCCTTCATTCACCAGGATATGCCAGGGACACATACATACGTAGCATAGCCTCAGGTCCCTAAATAGTCTATTTTTTTTTCTTTGAGATGGTCTCACTCTGTCACCCAGGCTGCACTGCAGTGGTACAATCTTGGCTCACTGCAACTTCTGCTTCCCAGGTTCAAGCAATTTTCCTGCCTCACCTACACGAGTAGCCGGGATTATAGGCATATGCCATGACACCCAGCTAATGCTTGTATCTTTAGTGGAGACGGGGTTTCACCATGTTAGCCAGGCTAGTCTCAAACTCCTGACCTCAAGTGATCCACCCACCTTAGCCCCAAAGTGCTGGGATGACAGGTGAGCCTCTGCACCTGGTCCTGAGTCTCTTCTTCACCCAAATGGAACACCTGAAACTTATGGCTTAGGCACTGGAAGCATTAACGTCAGCTGGGCACTGAGTGAACTTCATTAAATGTCTGAAGGTTCACACCTGTCTCTTATATTTAAAATACAGGTAAGGCCATCTACATCGTCAAAAAGCCATTCCATGGAGCAAATTCCTGGTGAATCTCCTAGTGCTATAAGGCTTTTAAACTAAATACGTACTTCTTTAAAATATAATAACATGTTAATGAAGAAAACAGATAGTTAACTATAATACAAGGTTTTACTTAAAGAAATCTAGCTCTTGTTTGAAACTAAAATTTTTCTCTGAGTTTAGTATCAGATGCAATTGCACCAAGCTAAACTTTTCCTCCATAAAATGGGGTGCTGTGTATGAGAAAATGGGTCTAAACTTGACAAACAAAAAAACAGAATTCTCAGAATTCTTATTTGGGAAGTGAAGTTATATGGGGGAAAACTGCTATCATCAATGTCCTTAAAATGGCAAAATTCATAGACTACGTAAACATGGAGAATGAGGAAAAATAAAATCATATAAACTATGGAAAAATGACCAGATCACTTAAAGCCTAGGTGACACAAAATTAAATGTAAAAAATTCAAAATTGTGCCTAAAGTATTGATTATACACATTTGTGAATACAAGTGAAAAGGAATGTGGAAAATGATTTGTAAACACATTTGTAACGTGAGAGTTGTTTTTCATTTAAAGAACATTATCTGTTAGGCCAAGGGAGGAGGATCGCTTGAGCCCAGCAGTTCAAGACCAGTCTGGGTAACACAGGAACACCCTGTTTCCAGTAAAAATAATTAGGCGGTTGTGGTGGTGCATGCCTGTGGTCCCAGCTACTCAAGAGGCTAAGGTGGGAGGATCGCTTGAGCCCAGGAGGCCCAGGCTGCAGTATGCCACTGCACTCCAGCTTGAGAAACAGAGTGAGACTGTGTCTCTAAACATATATGTATATATGCATATATATGTTAATTTTTATACTATTACTTGGAAATAAAAGGCAAGAGCCTGGCATACAACAATTTTTCAAGTGCCTTGAAAGATTTTACTCTTTTACTCTTCCTAAACGGGAAAAATGTGTCCAATCTTTGTGAAACGAGACAGTAAATTCTTTTTTTTTTTTTTTTTTTTTTTTTTGAGACGGAGTTTGGCTCTTGTTACCCAGGCTGGAGTGCAATGGCGCGATCTCGGCTCACCACAACCTCCGCCTCCTGGGCTCAGGCAATTCTCCTGCTTCAGCCTCCTGAGTAGCTGGGATTACAGGCACGTGCCACCATGCCCAGCTAATTTTTTGTATCTTTAGTAGAAACGGGGTTTCACCATGTTGACCGGGATGGTCTCGATCTCTCGACCTCGTGATCCACCCGCCTCGGCCTCCCAAAGTGCTGGGATTACAGGCTTGAGCCACCGCGCCCGGCTAGAGACAGTAAATTCTTAATGTCATTTTAAGAAACAGAAAGGCAAGCCAAACATACCTGGAACTTGGTCATTTTCCCCCTCGTCCTTTTGGGAAAAGGCAGAGCTCTGGGGGAGCAAGCCTGGGGGAGGAAAAGGCATCATGAGATAGGTTAGGGATGCCATTAGCCAACATGGCACTTGATGTGACACTTTGGAGAAAGGCCCCCCTTTCTCTAGGCAGACACAGTTGCACATAGCTTAGTGAGAACAGGAGCTGGATCCCAGCTACCACTGGGCCCTCTCAACCAGCTGCTTTTGTTCATGAACATTTCATATTAACAGACCTAAATCAAATGCAGCTCCCTGTGTATTCCTTCTGAACCTTGGTGTCTAAGGAAATGAGACACAGACAGGCAGGGGAATGTAACAGAGGCAAAATGCCTGGCTTCAAATTTCGGCATTTCTACTTATTTTCTACTGATCAGCAGTACAAACCTTAGCGAGTTATTAATCTCTCCGTGCCTTAATTCAGTCACTTGTAAACGAGGACAATAATAATGCCTGTATTCTCTCTTTCCTGCTGCTTCTGACAAGCAAGTGCTATTATGCTTCACAAAAGTACCCTTGTTGAGTATGCTTTCTAGAGAATGAGTCTTTCAAGAAACCCAGAACTCAAAGATAATTGCTCTGTCCTGTGAGTTACCATTACCCTGAGAAAAGTCTGTAACTGTGACTGGCTGTCTAACATATGATTAGTTCTGTTGGTAATGAGAGTTAAACTGCCACAGATTTTCCCCCCCAATAGATGTAATTACTTGCAAATGTTACTAAGCTGGAGGAGCTTCAAGAAAGTCTCTTTTCCCATACGCATGAAAGCAATGACTAATAAAAACCTAAAACTCTCTAAGAAATGGTGCTGCACTTAAGTTAACCACACGGGATTACTGGTAATAACCACATAATACTCAACAGTTGTTATTTGGACCTCAGGACATCTCTGGAACTCTGCAAATCTGCAATGACGACCGCTTCCTGCGATAAAACACAGAGTACATTCCTCAGGCTCCGGCTGAAACTAATCTCCTGTCTCCTAAACAAGAGGCTAGAAAAAGTCCAAGAATCCTGGAACGGCCCCACATCAGGCAAGGATTAGAGAAGGGACAGCGGGTCCGTAACTGGATCTCCGACCCCATCTCTGGCAGAGGAGTTTCCAAACAACAGACGTCTTTTTTAGTATTATAACAGAATTAACGGTGGCATCCAACATTTTCCTATGCACTGTTTTTAAGCTTATTTCTATAAAATCTCACTTAATTCTCACAAAAACATCACTGGGAACGCACTCACCCTTTACAAGCATGAGGAAACTGAGACAAGGAGAGATTAAGCAACTTGCCCAATATTTTACTGCGAGGTGCAGGCAGGGCTGGCTGGGATGTGTGTGAGGAGGGCTGAGGCAGCAGCGAGGGCTGGAGACCCTCAACCTGGAAGCACGACGCGAGCCCGCCCCCAACGCAGGAGGTTCCGCCGAGGGGACGCAAACTCCCACCGCCTCCCAATCCCGTCCTCTACTGCTGGCCGCAGCTTCTCTGGCCCAAGCCAAGGACCGGTTCATTGCTGGCCCCACGCCCAGGCAAAGAGGGCTCGGAGAAATCTTGGAGACCCGGGGCTGACTCACCTCCCCGGGAGCAAGCTCAGAAGCGACCTCGCCTTCCTGGAGCGGAAGTGCCTCTGACTGCACATAGTTCGTGGACTCCACTTCCCAGAATTCCTAAGCGGAAGCGTCTCAGAGTTCTCGCACTCATGGACTACAGTTCCCATAATGCTCCAACGGCAAAGCTTCCCACCAGCTGAGTTTGGTTTGAGCCACTTCTTCTGCGCTACCGTCAGATTCCTTTTTGTTTTATTCATGTTTAAAAGCTCATGAAAAAAAAAATCATAAAACTTTAGAAGTGATGCCATATAAAAAAGAAAAGTGCAGATTGTATTATGAAAATAAGTTAGAAACCAAAATTTTTAGCAGAAGTAAACGGTAGGCTGAAAATGGGAAGCATAAAAGTGACTTAGGCTGAGCTCGGATGGACGCCGAACGTTAAGGAACACTGGATTTCAAACTTGTGTCAAATGCCGGCCCCCCAAATATCATCAACTCAACCTGTTGATAAGACAAAACACAGAATTTATTGATTGCAGCAACGGAGAACAGAGCATTGGCACCTCGTTGGCACCTCGACAGAGCGTTGGCACCTTCACAGAGCAAAGTGTCAAGGCAAGGTTGGAACTGATTGAGAACTGGATGTTTAGGGCGGGTCTTTCAATGCAAGGAATTCTATTAGGATTGTGTAATGATCATGATACTACAATCCAGGATTTGTGGATATAGCAAGGATTTTTGAAGCAAAGAATTTTAAGGTGCAATCTGTTGATACTTTCTTTGGAAGAGACTGAAAATTGGATGGGTCGCTGTGGAAGTTCCCGTAATGAACAATTAAACAAGTTTGCTTGGACAGGAATCTCCTGGAATAAAGACCTGCTAACGAAGACAGCAGAACAATCATGTTAGTGCAGAAAGTAAATTGTGATGAAACAGGAAGAGTTCCCTTGTTCCGCTCGCAGGGCATGTGATGGGGTTGCGGCTTGCTTCTCTGGTGCCCAGGTGCTCCAGCCTCTAGGGGAAGCATGCACACGGGCAGGTTGTAGGACTCCAACCTGACAGCAGTGTCTAGGGATTAATGTTTACAGCTCCCGAAGCCCCAGGAGGCATGTGCTACAAGGTGCTCTTTTAGTTTAGCCATCCGTAAGCAGCTTTTGTTAGCTCAATAGACCCGCTGCCTTACCGCAAGCACAGAGGGCTTTTCTGTATCCCAGGGTTTCTTGCTTGGGTGTACCGGAAGCATCGGATCACACATGGGCTTGGAGAATGAATGCAAGGTTTTATTGAATGGAAGTAGCTCTCAGCAGATAGGGGAGCCAGAAGGGAGATGGTTTTCCCCTGGAGTCAGCCACTCAGTGGCCTGCGCCCTCCTCCCGACTACCCAGGCCAAACTCTGCATCGTTCCACCTGTTGATGGCCTGCTGGCCTGCCCGTCTCTTCAGTGTGCTCTTCTGCCGACCTGCTGCCCTTCACGGCCTCTCAACATTCAGCCGTTTGTGTGTCTGCCAGTGCATTTCTCTCAACGTCCAGCAGCTTGTGTCTCTGCCTGCTGGGGTTTCAGGGGTTTTATAGGCACGTGGTGTGCCAGGGTGGTCCTGGGAAATGCAACATTTGGACGCAAAGGCAGGAATACCTGTCCTGACTAGGTCCCAGGCCACAGGCCTGGGGGTGGAGCCCTAGTGAGGGACCACACCCTTCTCCTCAGCACTTCCCTGTCCCCCTTCCGTATCTGTGAGAGGGGAGGGAAGGAGGAATGAAGTTTTAGTCCTTAGTGTCCAAGTTGTGTCTATTTAGGGATTGGTGGGGAGGAGAGAAGGGAGTAAAGTGTTTGACTCCTTTCCCTCCATTACTCCGCAAGGTACCTAAGGGCTCTTGACAGTGTTTTGTTTAATGCGCTATTCGTTCTAATATACTAAGAACCCACGAAAAGGCAATACAAATATTAAGCCAGAGAAGTATCTTGAACCCACCCTGATTGGCGAGATCCTTTGGCTGAGTTGCAGAGTAGAGTTTCCATGACTTGGGACAGTATTCCCACCTCCCTGCGTCATCTCTGGCTATCCTCAGGGACATTTTTCTCTTCGATTACTACTGATGCTTCCTCTGGGTTGACTCAAAGACAAGTCTCCTGTCAGGGGAACCCAAGATAGTGAGGCTGGTTGTCCATCTTGATTCACGTTTTCCAATGTAGAAACTGACCCAGGGGAAAATTTTCCACAGTCTTGGTGCCAGGCAGATTAGAGGGAGGGGCACTGTCGATAGGAAAGTCCAATTATCTTACCATCTGCTCAGTTTTTTCACTTACTTGTGTTTTCAGGAACTGTCTCCTCACATTTGAGTTCTGGGATATCGCTGGTGGTAATCTTGGTGCTGTATATTTGCCTTTAGTTTTCTGTTGAAGGGATTGAAGCCAGCTTGCTCCTATGTTTGCTATTTTTGGAAATAGAATTTAATCTCTACTACTGGCTTATGAGTTGTACCACTTTAAAAAATTCTTAAATGGTTACTCTAGGGCTTAAAATATAAACCTATATTTTTTCACAGTCTATCTTCAAATCATATTATGCTAATTCATGTACAGAGTACAACCATATACCTCTAATTTCTGCTAGCATGTTTCTAATTTCTGTCTTCCCTGTTTTGCAGTGTTCTTAAAAAACATCTTATTTTTATATGTCCTTTAAATTCATAAAACCTCATTCCTGATTTTGCTTTACTGAATTATATTTTGGAGTAATAAAAAATATTTTATACTAAAAATGATTGAAATAACCATTTTCATAGTTATGCCTTTTGGTAGATCCAAGTCTATTTCTGGTATGCTAAATACCTCCTACAGTGTAGGTCTGCTAATAGTGAATTCTATCAGCTTCTGTTCGTCTGAAAATATCTTTATTTTGCATACCTTCCGAAAGATTTTTTTCCATTGGGCTTAGAATTTTTTTTTTTTTTTTTTTTTTTTTTTTTTTTTTTTTTTTGAGACCGAGTTTTGCTCGTTACCCAGGCTGGAGTGCAATGGCGCAATCTCGGCTCACCGCAACCTCCGCCTCCTGGGTTCAGGCAATTCTCCTGCCTCAGCCTCCTGAGTAGCTGGGATTACAGTCACGCGCCACCATGCCCAGCTAATTTTTTGTATTTTTAGTAGAGACGGGGTTTCACCATGTTGACCAGGATGGTCTCGATCTCTTGACTTCGTGATCCACCCACCTCTGCCTCCCAAAGTGCTGGGATTACAGGCTTGAGCCACCGCGCCCGGCCCCTGGGCTTAGAATTTTTTTATTGATCTTTGTTTTTTGTTTCTAAATGTTAAAGATTTAACTCCATTGTCTTCTGCTTGCATGGTTTGTAATTATGATAAATCTGATGTTTTTCACACTATGCTTTTTTTTTTTTCTTTAGCTTACAAAGAATCGTGGTTATATTTATAGAACATTTTACAAAACAGTCGAGATTTACACTTGTAACACCAACACACAGTATGCTTCTTTTTTTTTTTTTTTTTTTTTTTGAGATGGAGTTTCGCTCTTGTTACCCAGGCTGGAGTGCAATGGCGCGATCTCGGCTCACCGCAACCTCCGCCTCCTGGGTTCAGGCAATTCTCCTGTCTCAGCCTCCTGAGTACCTGGGATTACAGGCACGTGCCACCATGCCCAGCTAATTTTTTGTATTTTTAGTAGAGACGGGGTTTCACCATGTTGACCAGGATGGTCTCGATCTCTCGACCTCGTGATCCACCCGCCTCGGCCTCCCAAAGTGCTGGGATTACAGGCTTGAGCCACCGCGCCCGGCCCACAGTATGCTTCTTAAATATAATGTGTCCCTTTCCTCTGTCTGCCATTAATATTTTCTTTGCATTGTCCATTTTTAGCTATTTGGCAATAATGCATCTACTTTTGTTCTTTTCTTAAAAATACTGCTTTGGCATTCTAAGGTTCTTGAATGTCAGTGAGGTCTTATTATTTTTGGAAAATTCTTAGCCATTATCTCTCTTTAAATATCTTTTCTTCCCATTCTGTCCCCCTGCCCCTGGGTTTCCAAATATGCAAATATTAGAGCCTACCATGTTGTCTGATTTATATTGTTTTCTTCACACTTTTTGTGTTTTAGTTTGGGTGATTTCTATTGACCTATACTAAAGTTCTCTGACACTTTTCTCAACTATGTTGAGCCTACTCACAAGTCTTCAAGAGCTTTCTGATAAAAGTAAAAGTAGTAGCATAAAGTTTCTTTCCCTAGCATTTCTCATTTGACTATTAAATTTTACTGCAGTCGCTATCTGCTCATGAATATTATCTGCCCTTTTCACTGGAGTCTTTAGCACACCAATCAGTTATGTTAAATTCCCTAACAGTTCCAAACTATTGTTATCTGTAAGTTTGGTTTTATTGAATGGCATGCTATCTATTGGCAGAAGATTGTTCTCAACTTTTAATCTTGTATTTTTAAAATAAAATGCCAGATAACATATGCAGAACAGCAGAGACTGAAGAAAACATTATTTTTGGCCTAAAACTAGGCACACATATTCTGCTCGGATGTCAGGGTGGAGTGCTGAATTAATCTGCTCAGGAATTAAACTGTAATTGGGTTTTGTTCTTGTAGTATTTATCTTAGTTGTACCACTGGCTTCAGATTTCTCTAGTGTTACCTTGTGCTTAGGGCGGGAATGAGAGTGCTAAAGTTTTCTCCATGTTCCTTGCTGCCCTGTCCTCAGCTTTTGGCCGTCCCTATGCAGTAGGGCCACAGAAAAATTCTCTATGTTCTTCCCTTTTCTCGGGGTAGCCTGCTGTCGCTTCTCACTAGGAGTAGGCTAGGGGACCAGCGGTGTCCTTTGCTGTCCTGGTTGGTTTCAGTTGTTAGTGAGAATCGGAGTGTCAGAGATTCCATGCATTTTGGGGAGCCAGAACCACACAGGACTAAAATGATACAGAATATCTCTTCCTTCAGCTGTGAACAAGAAAGCAGGTGATGCTGCTATATTGTGAACAACGTGAAGACAAGAATTCACAAGAAAAAAGAGAGGTGAAAGAATTAAAGGAGAACAATATAAAATCCTAC